CTTTCCAACTATTACATTTACAGGATGGGGCATAAATATGGTGACAAATTAATTGTGGCCCAGTTCGGACCAGAGGTGGAATAGCAGCGATAGATCATACCCATTGGAACAATAGTTTACATTTCTTATTCAAAATGGCTGCCTATGAATTTGGAAATTTTCTCAGAACGTACCTAACAAAAATTGACCCTTGCAGCTCAAGATCGGACTAATTTGTTCCGCAGCATTTCCAAAAAATTCTATCCATGAACCGGCATACCGCTTCGCCAGTGAATTTTATCGTTATGAGTAGTGAGGGTGACGGGAGCTCTTTCCATAATGCTATCTTGGATAGCATTTGATTGAGATTTTGTCCCATATGGTCAAAAACAACTGAATGAAGAAATCGCGGTTACCCAGGTTCATCTCATCGCTGAGCTGGGAAATTCTATTTGATTCCCGCTGTTGCTCCTCTGGTAGCTTACTCGTTATTCCAAAGGCGTGATCGTCCATGAGAATTATAAAGGGTTCCCTCGTCACTGTACATTCGGAGCCCCTTTACGGGCCGCGCCCCAGGCCTCCGATAGTCTTACCTCTGCTCTTCCTTTCACTGTGAGAACTTGTCTTCTATGGCCTTTATAACTTGTATTCCATGCTTTCTTTGCAGAGCTCTTCGCACTATTCAGCCTGAAATTGTCAAAACTGTAACAAATTTTACCGAGGTCCTCACCATTTCGAGATCCGCTTTCACAATATTCTCAACCACCTTTTTTATCGCATAACTCCTCCTCTGTTGAAGGCATCAGTGTACCGCAATAGAGAGTCGTACGACGATCTGGCCATCCATCGTACACGGCAGATCTCGGAAACAACCCACCCGGCAGCGCGTAAGACTAGAAATCCTACTAGTTTCGGATGAACTGGGGCCATTCCCAAAAAAGGATTGTAAAACCATGAAACCAATAGAATAATGGAATAATATATACAAGCGACAGCAGAAAATCTGGAAGAGTAGTCATTAGCCCTGCCAATTGTTCAGTAAAAGCATTTGCCGTGGTTCAATTTTGTCACCATATTTATGCCCCACCCTGTGTAGATTTATTCTGAAAAATAGGAGTTTGAGGGTCGAGTGCTTTGTGGTGACCTAAGTGGACCTAGATTTGAGTTGCCTGTGTTTGCTGCGCTGATCAGCTTTCCGGCTTACTAGGGAAGGATGAAGGGTCGAAGTGGCCATATGAAATGAGACAAGTATCATGGTATGTGGTTTCGGACGCTGATCTCGAATCTTCTTCCCAAATCTGCCAAACGATTCGCTGAACGGAGTTACGGAGGTTTTTTGTTCCCTCACACAGTTTAACACAGTGAGGAATCGGCCTCAGCAGCAGCGGCTTGTGAACGAAGCAGTGAGCCTCTTATCGGGTGCTGGTGGCCTAGTGGTTAAGGTGGTGGGCTTGGGATTTCGGGGTCAGTGGTTCGGATCCGCCGCGTGTTTTTCCTTTTGCATTTTTGTGACTGACTATTTGGCAGTAGTGAAACATGATTCCTTCATCATTGGTCAGCCCTACTTGCTTTTGGATGAGTTTGAGGTCGATAACTTCGAAATTTTTCCTAACTTGCATGCCACTACATAAGGTTAAGGCGCGCCAGTATACGGAGCGCGCGCTTCAGCCGTTTTTGAGTGAACGAATGTGAGATCTGTGTTCAAGTAGTCCAATAACTCCTGGGGCCGATTTCTAGAAAAATTCGAGATTTTGAATTAACTTCAAAAAAGTGGGCGAGTCACTCATTGATGCTACATATCCATAGCCGGTAGTTCCAGGGTTGACCTATTTTGGACGACGGCGACCCTTTAAATTTGAAAATAATAAAATGTGGGTGTTGAAATCATGCGAACAGAAACCAGACACTGCTTTACACTCTTCAGAAACCAAAAAAACTTATATCGTCTCAAGGCTATATAGGCTTCGATGATAGGCTGATGGATGAATGGATAGATACCCACCCAGCTTATTTCGAAATTTGGTCGAAATCTCAAATTTGGCTACAAACTTGTCCCTAGGGGTATTTTAATCTCCGGAACACGAATATCACACTTGTTGCAAAAACG